TTGATTTGGGACAGTGATCCAAATCTCCAAATTGAATCACCGTCCTCTGAATCAGCCAAATCTGAATCTGAATCGAATACTTCCCAATTTGCACAGGCCTAGTAAACTGGAACTCTAAGAGTTTCAGCAACTCTTTCATTTAGGAAAATTCAGTTCGTAGCAAAGATGAGTGATGTCATTCAGCTTGTCCCAGGGCTGGCTAGGATATATAAGGAAGAAGACAAAACTGAGCCCATATTGTAGAGATGAGAACATCCTCTTTTTTTCCTTTTTTTTTTGTTTGTTTTTTTTTGTTTGTTTTTTGTTTTGTTTTGTTTTTGCCCCTTTGATTAGTGGAGGCAAGGCAAATTCTCTGGGGACTATAGCCAGCTGAGTTATTTGATATGGTGTCTTTTATGTCTTCTGTATCCTGAGGGCTTTACAGGGTTTGGGTGTGGCTTTACTTCCTTTCTGTGGCCAGTATGCACAGAGATGGCATCCCTTGCAAATAAGAGTTACTTAACAGGCCCCGAGGCAAACACACAGACAGAAAGTTCTGAAATTTAGATTTTTTTTTTAACATACGGTCTTATATGTACTATACGGTCAGCCTTCTAAATAGTAAAGCAGCCAATGTCTGTGCACTTTTACAAGCGAAGTTTGTAAGAGTCCAGACATTGTCACTCTCCCAAATGATACTTTGGGTACTACAAATTACTTCACTAGGTCTACTTCTACGTAGTCTGCTGCAGGCCTTGTCCATACTGGGGATATGTCATAGTTACAGCTGTCAGTATAGCTATACCTGTACAGACCCTAGTGCAACAGAGGTAAACTTCATTAATGTAAACAGTAGCTTTCCCTTTCTTTATCTGGTGTTTCCACTGATGCATTTACACCAGTGGCTGGGTACTAATGGCTGAAGTCAGAGCAAATTCCTCAGTGCAAATTCCTCAGTTTACTTGCCTTTTACTGCTATTGTTGTAAAAAAAAACAAATAGGGAAGGGGTAATAAGCGGGGAAGGCATGACAAACACTGGTTTTGACACTGAATTTGCCAGCTGTACTCTGTGTAGCCAATTACATGCCAATTCCTGTCTGCCATCCAGCTTTACAGCTGCTACACACTTCATATCATAGAATAAGGTCAGACCCTGAAATGTGAAACAATTTATCTTGATCAGTTTAATTTAGTCTTTAAACTTTCTAAAAGCTCTGAAATAGGACATTAGATGTAATGTGATATACAGCACTGCAAAAAGGCAGTTCTTCAACAAAACCAATCCACAAGCTTCATTGATCAGTCTGGAGCCATTTGAAAGTATTGCCTTTGGGAGGAATGCTAAATGCTGCAAATTTTATCATGTGACAGACAGGTGAAAATTCAAGGCAGTTCTTGAACTTTTGCCCTGAAAAAATTCTACACAAAGGTCAATACTTTCTGCAGTTTTATATTAGACAAGTTCAGAAGCTACAGAGGAAGGAGCTTGTATTTTTCTCTCGCTTTCTAAATGTTTCATGACCTGATGCAAGCCTACAAAGCACCCTTGGGATGTATAAACCTCCATCAAAAATGCATCAGCAAAAAAGAAAGAGAAAGCTTGTATTGTCACATTTAAGAAGAAGGAGGGGAAGTCAAGAAGTTTTAAAATATTTGCAAGTGTTATGGGGGCAGCTATAAAAGGGTCCTGTAACATGATGAAAGGGGAAGAGGAAATGATATAACTCAAACAAAATTATCATAATTCTAATCACTGGAATAAACAATTCTGTTCCCCACAAGGCTATCAAAAACAGTGATGCAGATCTCCCACCATTACAAACTTGGTCAAATTTACTATTCACCACCTTTGTTCTGCTCTCAGTCTCTTGTTCTTCATTTATTCTTCATATTATAAAAGTGTTATAGGGCCAATTTGGCCAGGTAGGCACCTACACTTAGGCGCTGGAACACTTAGGATTAGATTCCGTTCCACCTATTAGGCATGTAAGTGGACTTTGATGCTTAAATGCAATCCTATACCACCAAGTTCAAGTCCTGAAAAATGTTAATGCAAAAGGTGAGTAGGTCCTCCTCCTCCTCGCTGCTTTTTTGTGATTTAGTCTGAAGGGCAAGATGATGTTGAGCTAAAAAAGTAAATTTATTAGTGGCTTTTCAGGGACTCGCACTGCCCTACTTAGCTGCCAAAAAGGTGGACTAAGATCTGGCCCTTAAAGCATACAGACTTTGTGCCAGGAGACTGAACCAATATGATCAGGTTTAGGTATCTAAAATCTTTATAAAATCAATGGAGAAACTTGGGTACCTCTGAAGAGCACCTGTCCAACCTTCAGATGAGTTTAGACAACCTATACGGAGAATGGAAGCAGGTAGGTATTCCCAAAGGGCAATTAAATGGCAGGAGGTAGCCAGTCATTTGAACTCCCACCCTATAAATTCAGGCTGATGGCACATAATACCCCATTCTATAATTTTTATTAGGTGCATTATGCTTGAGTTAAAAACAGTTAATGTAAAAAGGAAGGTGGGTCCTGTACCTCACTGTTTTTTTTGTAATCCACTGTTAAAAGGAAGAGAGTGGTGTGTTACAAAAGTAAATACATTAATGAATTTTCATTATGGATTTTCAGGGTGAACCTAGATGACTAAATCCACTTAGGGCCTAATAGATGGGATATAATCTAGCCTTTAGAAATCAAGTGAGGGTGGATAGCAGTAGCATAACTATAGCAGAGTAAATGAAGCAACCACCCTGGGTACCACCCAAACTAACCTATAAACTAATATGTAGGGCACTTGCATGAAATGTGGGAGAATTTGGCATAAAACCCCAAAGGCTGAGAAAGGGCCTATAACCTAGGCTTCCTTCTTCTTAGATTATTAAGCCATTAATTAATTGGTAGGTATCACTACCAATGGTATTTTTTAATAAACTCAGTGTTGCTGATGTGAGTTAGGTGTGCTCTGAACACTCTGTGGGGATTAGGTTCCTCAAGAGGCTCTCCAGCATCAATCTGGATCACTACAGAGCTTGGGCAGGACTCTGGGTGCTCAGTACTGAATCACTTCCAAACCAAAGTTCAAGGTTAGGCACATAGACCCCCTTTACACATTACAGTCATTGCACAATTAGCTGGTTAATTGTGCGATTAACTGAGACTAGCTATATGTGCCAAGTACCTATCACACCATAGAAGGTCCAACCAGCTATAAAATTAAACCTCAAAAATATGTACTAATTTTATAGCTGATTGCTATGCAGCTTTTATTTGCATGTGTAGCAGGGTCTCCCCTGTAGCTGAGTGCCCTGTCAACTGACCAGACTCCCAGGCTTAGAGATGCACCATGCCCAGTCAGGGCTGGGGATGCCACTGCTGAGGGGACTCTCAGCCCTGGCACTACCCAGCAGCTGTGGACTCTGGGTCCCAGCAGGGCCCTACGGTGCCAGTGACTCAATGTCCCATACCACACACCCCTGTGGCTGGGAGACCACAGCTGCTGCAGTCTCTCAGCCCTAGGGGGTCTGTGGGGAGCCTCTGCAGCTCAGAGCTCCTGCACCAGCAATAAGTTGTGAGAGGTTCTAATACCCAATCCCACAATCACCCCTTCTTCCATGCACGTGGCATGGCAGAAAGCAAAATGGTGTGGATTGTGCATTAGATCCCATCATGACTTTATGTGCATATGTAGATCGGCCCTTAGGGAAATTTGCAAAACAAAAAAGGTACCTGGATTTAGGTGCCTGTTGAGTTCTGTGGTTTGTGGAAGAGTTCTAATCTAGATTTTTTTTTAGAATGTAGGCATCTAAACTTTGCCCAAGTCTCACTTGGGTTACTGTCAAAACAAAGTAGATCCGGGTTTCGTTGAGTGAAATGTGATGTCCTTAATCCAATTTTTACTAGAGCTATACAGAAGATTTAAGTTACATTTTGTAAAGGTTTTTGAGATGTTAGTATTCAGTGTTTCTTTATCAGACTGAAAAATGAAAATTTTTAACTTCTCCACAAATAAAAATTCAAAATTAAAAAATTATCATTTTACATAAATCAAGATGCTTTACTTCAAATTTGTTGTTTGAATTCAGTATTTTGTATTATAGTTATCATATGAAAGCTCCCTCTGAAATGACATTTCATTAAAAAAAAAGAATCTAAGTGTTTTATTTCAATGTTGATATGAGAGATTTTGTCCTTGTCTAATTATTTTTTCCAGTTTTCTTCTATCACGAAATTGCAGTGAAACTGACCTAGTCTTAAGAAAGCATTTAGATTTCAGTGGAATTTTCTATTTCAATGGAATAGGTTTCATGGAAATTTCCCCAATTAGCTCTTTTCTTTATTATACCCCAAAGCTCAATGAAGTTTATTAGGTTCTAGTTCTCATCCTGTCCGAAAATGTCATCAAAGCTGAGTCCTGATAATACAGGTAGCCTTTATGCTCATGTGAACTGGTATAGTTTGTGCTTAGCAAATGAAACAGAATCTGTAGGATGCTTTGCTGTCCCTGAAAGCAGGCAAGATGGAAAAAGCATCCCTTCACGCTTCTCAGTCATTAACAAGGGAAGGAAAAGAAGTGGCTACTGGACTAACTTACCTACTGGTGTAAATCAGAGAGAATTTAGTCTTGTGTAAAATTGGGTTGCAGCATAGTACAAAACATTCTCAAAGTGTGGGGTTCCAGTGATAGGCAACCCTGGTGCATTATGGATAACGATGACGTACTAATCACAAAAAAATCACTGCTCTTTGTCAAGACCTCACTCTGAATAATATTTTTCTGAATGTTTCTGATGAAGTAGTTCTTCAAAACAGAATAGGAAACTGGGTTATAATAAAACGCCTTCCAACTGAGGGCATGTTTATACTGCTGTTTAGGATAAACCCTATGGGTCAACCTCAACTACCTGAAGCCACACCTCCCCATCTATAGGGAAATAGAGTCCCCTAGTCTCTTTTATACAAGTAATTGCCTTGTAGTAAAAATGCAACCAATATTTATAGTAGCATCTACAAAAAGGCTAGTTAGAAGAGAATTTCTGTGAGGCTCTTTTCCCAGAAGGCCATGGCAGCTGTCACATAGCAATGCAATAACTGCACTCACAGGAGAGGGGACATGAATAGAGACTGGTTCTTAGAAGGGCCCCACTCAGAGAAAAGGAAGTTTCTTTCTAGGAATCCATATATCTTGTGGTTGGCTATATTTATGGAGTGTAGGCAAACCAAGAGTACTTCATAGATATTAAGCTTCAAGTAGTAGTATTTTTTTCAACTGGAAGAAGTAAGGCATGAACCTACCCTAGGTCAGAAGGAGTAGCCGAAATGGGGATAGAATCAGGGTCTCCTGACTCTCAAGTCAATACCTTCATCCCAACACCATCTTCCACTAATAAAGGTTAGTAGTAAACTAGTATAGATTAGTAATGTATTTCCTTTGACAATGGATTAGAATTTAGCTCACATGATCATGCTGTTTATGTTTACATATGCCAACTGCTATTGTCTCTTATTCCCACACAAAGCCTTTGTTTAAAGCATTCAGTTCTCAGCTGAGGTTCTGAGAGCCTTTGATTTTCATAATGCTTCATTGCATCATGGTTGTTCTTGTATTGGTGGTAGCAATGTTAGTTTATCTGCAACCACTTTAATTTACATAAGGCCAACTTTCCAAAAGGAAAGAGCTCTGCAACAAGACACCATCTCAAAAGAAGTATTTGCTCCTACCATCACAGGATCTGATTCATGCTCTGGCTGGAAGATGTTTGTGGGGGAATGGATCTAATGTGGTTGTTTTTCAGCATTTTTGATTGCATCCCGCTTTACCTGAAAATATTGCTTCTCATACCGCTTTGCATGTTCAGTGGACGTCAGTGTATGGAAACACATTATCCACTGTGCACGGACCAGTGGAAGCTCCACTGTGGTTACTAAAATGTAGGCATGTACCCCTTAGCAAAGTGCCAGGTAGCTTTGTGGGGACTGATAACCACTGATCTAAGGGTTTTTTTAATCTAAAGTCTGTGAATGCCTTTGTATACAAAATAGAGAAGAGCTAAGAGACAGCAACCCAGAGAGTGGGAACATGAGAAATTTAGAAAAGTGCAATTGACTTTTACTCTCTGTAAATGAGAAGTGGAGAAATGACATGTGAACTTCTACACTAAGTAACTATCCAATCTGGTGTATAATGACCCCTGAAAGAATGTGAACTAAAATTACACTGGTGTAAATTAGACATTATTGGGATTGTATGTCCCAGTGAAGCCATTTGCTCAACACAAACAAGGCATTCTGGGCTCTCCCACCATTTAATGTAGTGATAGAAATTTGCAGTCTGCTACAGAGGAATAAGCTGCTTATCTATCAACTTCAGAGTCTGGTGTAATTTACTTTACTTTGTTGTACAAAACTGATGTAAACACCTATGTAAATATGTTGCATGTCCAGGCCCTCAAACAAAGCATATCTCTGTCATATGAGCTATTAATTTTTTCATGCTGATGAAACTGTCTTGAAGCTTCAGGAAGCATACTACTGGCCATGCCAGCACGTTTTAACCATTTCTGTTCAGTTGAGACCATATTTTCAGTGTTTTAATTAGATTCTGACCTTGGCCCTGAAACTCTAGTGACTCCATCAACAACAGTGGAGTTCCTCTGGATTTTCACCAGTGTAAATCTGATTGGAATTTGGCCCTCTGTCTAGACATTTTCAATGAGGCTATTAATGAACAATAAGATATGGTAAAACAAATAGATCTAATTTAAAACAGTTGAAGAGTCCTAGTTCACTCTCTCTCCTTCTTTTTCTCTTACCTATGTCTGATTCAGAACAGACATTCTGTTCAATGTGCACAAATCAAGACTTCTGCCCCCAAAAAGCAGAATAAATTTGCTTAGTCATAAATCTTGCAAACCAGAAATAAGGAATACTTTTTACCAATGTCTCTGTGTTGAAACCACACACAATAGATTTCTCACCTGCTGACTGAAGTCTTCTTGTTGGTCCATGTCCAGCACATTCTAGTTCAAGTTACTATCAGAAATGGCAATTGCCTTGTAGTAAAAATGTGACCAGTATTTATAGGTCTATCTACAACAAAACATTAGTTAGAATAGAATTTCTATAAGTTTCTTCTCCCAGAAGGCCTTGGCAGATGATGAACCATAAAGAGCAAACCCTCATGTGTCGTGGCCAGGAGCACAGTTTTCTAGAATAGTGTTAAAGTCATAAACTGACAAATGCACATTTCTAGCTGACTGCCTGCCTGCCTGCAAAACAAAAGACAACTGAGCATAAAACTGTTTTGCTCAACCCTTTTTTCCTCACAAAAGGTTTTTGCCGTGTAATGAACCATTTTTATTCCAGAATAGAATCTATTGTTAAGCTCCTTAGAGGTAAAATCTTTCCTGGGCATTATAACAATAATATGTTATTGAGGTAAATCAACAGGAATTTGAAAGGGAAAGCTCATAGCAAAAACAGAGCTTTAGCACCAGACTGGAATTCTGAGGTGTTTATGTTGCTTGTTAATATTGGTGTGTATTTTTTAAGGGAGTGGCGTGCACTACACAGTATGAGAAAGATCAGATAGAATAAAGTCATGGATACCTATCTTGTCCATGCCTTTTTGTTTATAAAAGTGAAAAGTAATTCAAGGGATAATGTTTAATTGGAATGTCATTTATGTATATCCCCCAAGAAGGTATTCAGCATTAGAAGAGAATATTGTGAGTGAACCATGCAACATAAAACTATGGTACATGCTTGCTAACAGTCATTCAACATCCTGACTTTACAGTGTTTAACAATCACACTTAAGTGAGTTAAAACTCAATGTAATTGGTTATATAAGTCGTTTCTATAAGTAGAATTAAAACTGAAACAATTAAAATTGTGACTATGGGCTAGGAGACTTGGTTCCTGAAGTGGAACTGAAAATTTAAGCAGCTATTTCCTAAAATGGTATCTTGTAAACTACACTCAAATTGGTCTAATAAAAGATATCACATTTACCCAAAGAAC